CGTCACTGGCACAGAGAGAAATAGTCCCAAGGCCTGTTATCACGAAGGCGCCGTTAAGAGCCGTGGCATAAGAGCCAAACCAAAATTTACATATTAACACAAATGGCATAACAGCAACTGAAGCAAGCTAGGAGCTCGGTTACATACAGAAAAAATAGTTACAATACTAATCCGGTGACCTACATTGTGTAGCGGAATTGAAGACGTGCCAACGCAATCTGTGAATGAAGTTGGCAGCTTACATAAATAAATGACTAGTAGTAATCGATAATTAATGTGACATATCCACACTCTAGTAATGAGTTAGAGAACTATAATGATTACCGAGGTGAACAGAGATAAATTCATTTCTACCAGAAAATAAAAACATAGGGAGTTTTAGAGCTGAAATTTGCATTATGTACTAAGCTGAAATTAGTCACTGAGCAGTTCTAAATTGATAAGAGCTTTTCATGTGCTCTAATTTAAGCATAATAAATAAATTACCATTTGAATATTAAATATTCAGTGACACACCATAAATATATTAAAAAAGGTACAAATATTTAAATAACCTGGAGTGTGGCTACACTTTACGTTGTAGAATGAATCCATAAATATTTTAAGATGTACACAAAAGAATTTCCAGAACAAACAAAAAATAAAACTGAGAACTTATGTGAAATAAAAATACTATCTGTTGGTACCTCATATTTCTGGCGTTTTGATATTTAATCAATCTATCTTTAAAATGATTGATTCTTTAGAACAACATTCAAAATTGCAATGATCGATACTATGGCAGTATGTACACTGTAAGACTGCGGGTATCAAAAATATACCTGAACGTAGAGATAGGCTGTTCGGAACAATGACGCCGAATTAGTGGCGCCCGCCCCAGCAAAGCAACGGCTGTGAGAATCCCTTCTTAGCACCTGCAAGCCCCAACCCTTCGCAAGAAACAACCGTCTTTCCTACTATCAGTTTATTCTGACACAACATTTCTCACAGTAAATAATACCTCATTTATTTGACTTAATTTTCGCGGTAAGAATTGGAAAAAAAGTCATAGTTCCCCCCCGGGACCGACTGCCGTGTGGTTCGTCAACGTTCGCATGCCTTCCCAACGCAACGCCGGTTGGTTCTTGCGCCCGTGCTTACCAATCACTTCTATTCCAAACCACTTTCGTGCTTCTCCTCTCTCCACGGTAGTGAGCCAGCGTCACCGGCGTCATTTACACCTCAGAAATTACTCCGCTCCCTTAAAATAATGAAGAGAAAAATCTTTGAGGGGAGGGAGGGGGAAGTGTCAGAAAGTTGGAGTCAAAGCTAATGATAAGAGCCTCTTGGTCTAGACTCCAGGATTGGACAAGTATCCAGACGTGATTGAACAAAGTGTGGAAAAGCCAGGTTTGGCCGCATATGGCATTGCTCATATTCTGTGCAATGGACTGTACAGTAATAATTTAAATATGAAGTTACCGATAACTGCGACACAGCATGAAGCTCTAACATCATCATAAACTAAAGCAAGATGGCTGCTGTAACATGGTCACATGCAACTAATGACGTATTGGTGCGACGTGTTTTGGACCCAGCAATATGGCGGACTGACTTCACTTTCTGAATACGGAAGAGGTTGGTAACGCCATCTCCAAGTATTCATAGCTCCGTGATGTTAAGGATACATATTAATGTAATTGAAAATACTTCTGGAAAATTCAATCGATTACAGCACTGTTAGAGGAATTGTTTTTTATTTTCACAATTGTCATGTTCTTTTAAATTTTATTTTTATCAATATGTCTAAGTTTGTAGACATATGTTTTAATGTCAATAAAAATATACTATACTATATACTAATTTAGCGATAACTTCTAAATAAATAGTCCCATTTTCAATCAGTAAACGGTATTTGATTCGTTTTTAATACACAATTTACGCTTCGAAGTCCATTTTTTCCAATTCGCTCTCATAGATCCGGGACGAAATTGAAAAGAGGTGAGCTTAAGCGCGATGGCGCCCCGCTCCCTGCGTCCAGCCCCATGAATAGGTGCGTCGCAAAGTGAAATTTCGCAAAAATATGCCCCCCTCCGCCATTGCGTGAATTTGATGTACAGAAGCTGGACAGTACATCATCAACTATAATACTGCATCCGCGTAGCAAGCAGATGGTTCTGCTAGGGAACTTATCGTGACATCCAGCAAGAAAATGATAATGATAACACTATTTTTCATGAACATTGTACATCACTTTTTTCTCGGGCTGACTTTTTAGGATGGATTTTAAGGTAAAATCGTTATCTTTGATTTAGTACTTGTGAAATGTTAACTTTTGGCAATTTTCGAAAATGACACTACAGCCATATTGTTAGTTTTTTATATGTAATTTAAAGAAAAATGTACGCCACATCTACTCGTTTCTTCAAAATATGTATATGACCTTCTTTAAAGTCCTGTTTTTTAAAACACACTCAGGCAAAAATCGCTATCTTCAATTTGGCATGTTAACATTACGCAATTTTTGAAAATACAGTAAGTACGCCGAAAATGTAACTATCACTATATTTTTTTACTAACCCTTATTACGTGCGAGAAAATTTAAAGAAAAACATTGTGCTTTAGAGAGAAAAAATAAAACTTGTCTGTATTTCGCGCAAAATTACGCAAATGCTTTTCAAATTTGATCCTTAAGGTGCGTTTACACAAAGAGACAGTCTCCTAACTTCATGACGTCACGGAGATAAATTATCTCTGACGGCTTTACACGGTTCGAAATATCTCCCGAAACGCGAGACTCCTACCGCACGGGAGAGTTGGTTCCTGAGATATCTCCGGAAAAGTATCTCCTTGCTGTTTACACTAGATACAGAATGTCTCTCGATGTTCTCTGGGCAGCCATCTTGAATAAGCAGCAGCGAGCAGTTTGAGGTTAGAATGTGACAACTGTTTCAGCTGCTGTGGCACTTTCACAATTTGAAGAAGCGAGGAAAAGAAAGAGACAATTGTGAGTGATTTTGTTTTATTGAGAAAAGAACTGAGTTTTTAAAACTTTGATGGCGGAATTGCAAGAAGAGGATTAAAAAAAAAAAAAATTATTTGCTACCTGTTCAATTGCATTACATTTTTTCAGAGACAATAAAATGAAACAAGTTTTTAATTTACTGACGATTAAAAAATATTATTTGGAAAACGTGGTCGGAGTCCAGAGGAGGGGAAAATAGTTTTGACATAATGTAAAGGTTTGAAATCTGGATGAAGTTGATAATTGGTTTATATACTTTTAGTGAAGTTAAGTATAAACGATTTGAAAGAATCAATTTTAAGTTCTCTGTAAATTTGTTGTTATGATAAAACTAGGAAAGATGTAAAATGTTGCAAGATTTTTTTGAATTATTTGAAATTTGTTAATTTTGGTGAAGAGGCATTACAACTAGGGCAGGCATATAAAAGAGAAGACCTAATTATGTTATATAAGAAATATTTACAATTGATCCGTAATTTTGAAGTTTTAATTTATTGAAGGGTGTAATAAAAAATGGTATTATAAACGATAATGTAGTCATGTACAAAAACTTCGTAAATCAGAAGAGATTGAATTTTTTATTAGGAAATATCTCACGCAATCAAAAAGCAAGAAAAGTGGACAATAATTTATTTTGGAAAGAGACTTGGTTTGACGGTAGGGCGGTTTTTGGCCATAGGAGATTCAGTAATTTGTCATTTGTATTTATAATTCCCCACAAAGAACGAAAATTCACCGATCACGTTGGAACGCTGCACAGACACAGACAGACGCAGAAAAGCTAATCAAGCACGTGAACACTTGCAAGAGAGCAAAAAGTCTTCCAACTCTCTTTGAATACTATTTATCCCCCAGGAGATACGATTCCTCATCGATACCAGAGCCTTTACATTGCTCTCTTGCGGAGACTTCGAAAATCCCTTGTGACGTCATGTCTCCGGAGAGAAGATCGCTCTCCTGAGAGTTTACACGTGTCTCCTAACCCGTTCCGGAGTTAGGAGAGAAAACTCTCTCCGTGTAAACGCGCCTTTAGGGTAGAGGAACTGATGATATTAGCTGTGGAGGAAGCAGCGCGGGAGCAAGGACAATGGACTCGGCGTAGACACAAATGCTCTGATCAATATCAGTCCGAAACCATCAGGATATTTTCCAAGAGCACGGCAACTTCTCCCAAGGCCACTCACCGCGACGTTCTGGCCTGTCGGTGATGATTAAGAGGCGCTTCAACAGCTAACATCATTGGCGTCCGTGTCAAATTAGTTTAAGAGCTCTCCACACTGTTACCATATCAGACAAAAACTTTTTTAATGCAAAGCAAATGGTAGTGAAACTGAAAATAAATAAAAGTCAAGTGAAAACAGTTTGTGGTGACAAGGTGACGCAGAGCATGCCCCATGGTAAGATGCAACTATCACAAGTAGGAAGTGGGTCACCGCGAAGATATCCGTGGGCGAAATGGGAGTGGCTGATCGATCCCGAGGTGGTCAGAATTACCTCCTCGCGCCTAGTGCCACGAAATGAAGCGTATTTTGTGAATCTCTTAAAGTTAATTAATTTCATTAAGCGATTCGGCAAAAGAATTTAAAGCTCAAAACAATGTTTCTGATTCCTTGATTAGTTATGAGTTTACATAGGCTCGTTTGAATAAACTAAGATACTTTTCTTGTATTATTAACACCTCAAATGTTTCAAGTTTTATTTTATTGTTGAGATTTCCCTACGTAAAAATTAAGGAAATAAACGTTTTAAGATTATTTTTCAAATTAAAAGTATTTAGTTAAAATACTTCATTTCTATCTTAGATACTCACGCTTTCCTTAAGGGTCGTAATTCATACAACCCATGCAAAAATAAATTTTCTTTGTGCTCTCCGTTGATCTCTGTGGTCCCTCGTCACCGAATATACAGGGAAGGTTGTACATGTTTAGATATAGCAATGCCACAAATGGAGGAAAGAGTAGGTGTGCGGTATACCATTGTAATAAAGACAAAGTAATGCATTTTTTAATGTATTTCGAACATTTTTATTATCAATTATTATTAACGTTGTTTTCCATTCTTCTAGAGGGTCTGGAACAATCCTTAAAAGATGACGTTAAACTGAAAAATAAAAATTCATGAAATAATGCATAAAATAGTCATCTGTATTTCAACATTGAAACATTTTTTTCATTTAGTTTAATTTTCAGTTAATTTCCAGTAGAACAGAGAAAACATTTCAATCATCCACTACTGGTCAATCGTAACAGCTCCTATAGTGTTTTTTTAATAACTGTGCTTCTCAAGTCCCGTCAACCCGCTAGATGTGACCGTTTCAAGTTATAAAATTCGCACTTACGTTAACCGAATCCAGTCCGCCCAGAACACATATGAGTGGCCAGAACAAGTATTAGTCTTGGTTATTTACGAGGAAGCAGACACTTCAAGACAGTCAATTTTAACGTATATATGCAAGAATATGTTTTCATCAATTGCGTACTAAAAAAACGATCATAAGGGGCTGAATTCGGAGTAGGTATCTGATTGGAACTTTCACTGGAGAACTAAATATCATAAAACTGGGCACAATCGTGTAGGCTATATATCTAAGCTACATCTTACCTCTAACTGAACATATTCAGTAGACAAAGACTGTGAACACGTTAGTCACACAATTATGATTATTCGATTTGGCATTGATAGTTTTGTTTACCTTCATTGAGAAAACACCGAAATTTCGACAGAAAATCTCTTTAATAAATCATAGGAGAGATAAATCTTGTTCTTACTTACAGTAAATTACTCCCTTTAACACGTTTAGATTTATTTAGTCAAAAACAGTAAAAACTGTATGTGATGTATGGGGGAGATTATCTGCGCACGTTTTCTTGATTTTCAGAATCCCTTCTCGTCATTTTAATTATAAATAGTTGAAAGGTGAGTAAAAATTTAACATGAATAAAAATATATTTTAGAAATCGCAAGATTAGCAATAGTTGAAAAAAAGCAGACATTTTCGTTTCGGGGTTATAGAAAACTTATTTGCATCGGTAAATGAATTGCAAGTATGATTTTTCTGCTAACAAAATAGTAACTCTACACTTACCATTACAAGCAAAAGGAGTTCAACAAAACGTACGCATCGTGAAGCAACATTTACGTCCAGAAGCAATACAAGGGGCCATTCAGCAATTATTCAATGGATCAGAGAAACTGGACAAAAACCTGATCGAGATGGGGGTCATTGGCCCGGAAGCTGAAGTACATTATTTGTTACAAAGATATTAAGTCTTTTTTAAAAAAGACGGATACAATAGAAATGTAAACTAATTCATTATATATCACTGTTTTGTTAAAATAAACGTTATTTTTCTTTTTGATAATCAGTACAGTCTCTAATTGCATAGAAACAGTTGTGCAGCAGAAAAGCTATTACTTTTAGCTTAAATTTGTGAACCGACTTCAATTGTAAATTTGTGAACCGACTTCAAAAATATTCATCATTATTAATTACATGATCTGTACAACCACTATCAAGTAACCAATCAATTTGTAATGCAATTTTTTTAACCGTCACTTTACACATCACCATAGATTGAATTTCTGTCGGAAAACTATACATACTGTGTCCATTAAAATTTTGAATTTTTTGCAGCATCTTCTTACAACTAGGAAATTGAAAATAGAGGATTTTCCTCAAATGAAAGTTGTTTTTCATTGTCAGGTTTTTCAATAAGGTCATTTACAGTTTTTTGAACATTTTAGCAGTTTTCATCCAATATTCCCGCAATTAAAAAATAATGAAAGACAAGATTGTTCTCAAAAATGGTTTCAATTTTTTCATTAAACTTGTGGTATGTGTAGTGTTAAATGTACTCTATGATAATGGTACTGTACTATAATAATGTACTCTATGATAAATGTACTCTGGTCAACTACCTTCAGATTCTATTTTTATTACCCCAACCACAGAACAAGAGGTATCAAAAAATATAAATGGTATGAGTAATAAGAAATCAGCAAGTGTTGATCAGATTTTAATTACAGTAATTAATCGTATACAATCTATCATCCTTAAACCATTAACTTATATAATCAAAAAAAGTATAGAAACAGGTACATTTCCAGATCATTTCAAAAAAGCCGAAATAATCCCAATTCATAAATCTGGTGAGAAGGATAGGACAACAAATTACCGACTAATTTCCTTGATTTCTAATTTTGCAATAATTTATTAGGAAATATTAAAAATTCGATTAGATAATTTTATAACAAAACATAGTATTATAAATCCATTCCAGTTTGGCTTCCAGAAGAGAAAAAATACCGAAGATGCAATAAAATACTTAACAAATGAGATCAATAATGCGATAGATAAAACCATACCTTGCATTACTGTTTTCCTCAATTTAGCCAAAGCATTCAATACGGTAAATCACAGTTTACAACTGAGGAAACTATAGAACTACATTACAGATCGAAAACAGGTGGTCAAACTAAAAAATGTTATCAGCAATGAGAGAACGGTTACTTGTGGTGTTCCACAGGGGACAATATTGGGACCACTATTATTCATAATATACATAAATAACGTGTATGAGGTATTACCAAGAGGGGAATTAGTGTCCTTTGCCGATGACGCTAGTATTATTGTTAAAGCTGATTCGTGGAAAGAGGTTTTACGTAAAGCAGAAATAAAATTAAATCTAATTGCTAAATGGCTACAGAACAATTATCTTCGCTTTAATATACAGAAAACTGTCTTTACAACTTATGGCAGTTATTTGGATAGTGTTCCAAATCAGTATAATTTAAAACTACATGTAGATAATTGTAACACTATTCAATGTAACTGTCAAGAGAAAGAGAGAGCCTTACTTGCGAAATACCTGGGAATATACATTGATTGTAATTTGAAATGGCGACAACATATATCAAAAATCGCAAATAAATTAAGATATCTTATAATTACTTTCTACAAACCTTCTAAAATATTTAATACAAAACATTTATTAATGATGTACTATGCATTCTTCTGGTCTCTGGCAACGTGCGGTATAATTGCATGGGGGGAGAAAATTCCATGAAAATTCCATTAAACCTCTGAGTGATATACAAAAAAGGATAATTAAATTGATTTTCAAAAAAGATAGATCTTCTTCCTCTGAAGTCTTATATAGGGAACATAATATAATTATTATCAGAAAATATTTCTTGGAAAAGGCTCTTAAGGAAATGTTCAATTACTTGCAAAATACATATTAGTGCGTACAACATATTAAAAGAATAACTACAATACAACCTCTGATTGTAAGCAAGGACATTGGCTCTCGAAATTATGTTTACGTGAGCTATAGTGTTTTCAATATACTTGCCAGAGATCTCAAATTATTAAATATAAAGAACAAAAAAAGCTAATTAGACAGTGGCTAATAAACTTAGATAATAAATCTTTGAAAACCATTGTCAGATGAAGCATCTGTGTGTATATATTACATTCATTTTATTTTAACTTTGAAAAATTATAAATATATTATGTAATCTGCGTTTATATCTTTCCTACTGTATTTTCATTAATACCATTATATAAGATTACAACACATTTTATCCTCTTTTTTTAACTTTATTTTTTATATCTTTTCTTTAATTATCCTTATATCTTTATATATATCCATTTCTTTAAAAAATACATCTATGAATTGTAAGATATGAAATAACTATATTGCGATTACAGATTCGCACACAGGCTTTTAGCCTCAGCGAGATGTGAAATTATATGTATTATATATATATATATATTTATATATTTTTGTATCTGTTTAAACAACCTGAATAAATTATTATTGTTACTATAAGGCATTAATGCCATGTTGCTCTATTCTTGTGTAGTTTTTTAAAATTCGCAAAAAAAGCAATTTTTTAAACTCCCCCCCCCGTCGTTTATACTTACATTAGCAGCTATCTGTTTACATTATTATATTTACGAGTACAAGAGAGATAAATAATTTCAAATATGGTTTCTCAAAAACTCCAGACTTCTCTGTGAAAACTGGCTCAAAATTCTGCATTTTCAGAAATGCTCAAACACCATTTTCTCATAAATGGCTCCAATTCTTCAAACGTTTCAAATTTTTTTTAATGATGCCTAGCCGGTTAGCGCTTAACCCTGACCATTATTCGAAGTTGCTCTTTAATTCTTTCGAAGAATATTGTAAAACATCAATATAAAACAGTTAAATTATTGTTAATTTCTATTAAATTGGTAGCTAGAAAGGATATTACTTATATCGGATACATAACTACAGACCTCAACACTGAAAAACAGAATTATAAATGACATGTTATCAATGAGATGGGAAAAACAGTATATTTCAATGTTCCTACAAAATGTCTTACCTTTCAAAGTGACTTGCCAACCTAGGGGAAGAAGAAGGATGATTCAACAACACTGTATGAATGCTCTAAAACAACAAAAATTCCATGAACAGTACATTAATATTAATCTCTAAGAAATGTACAGCAACAATGAACATTAGAGGTTACATACCTGAAATATAAATCGAAGGTGTGATCTGTTAAGGTGTTGGGTTAATAAAATTTTCAAGAACTCCACAGCAGCATGCCAATTGCCACGCAATATAGAATTTTGAATTTGTTTACCAGTATACAGAATACTATCAACAACTGTAAATATAAAAGATTTATATTTACCAATTAAATTCATCCAATGGAAGAATACACAACAATTTAAGAAAAAAATTCACGTGGGGAAAAAAGGTGTGTGGCTTTTGAAATATTTTTGTAACAGTCAAATGTACTTGGTGACCTTAGAATCTTGTTTACTGACACTATTTTAGAGAAATCAACCAGTAACTGCGTACATTATTATTTTTATTCACTACTGGAGAACACATTTTAAGAGGAAATATTGATAGTAGTTGTGGTGGTAATAATGAGGACAATTACAAAAACTAGTGCCACAGAAAGGCACAGACTTGCTCATTCTAGTTTAGTTTTCTAATTTCTTTGGTATGAGCTAGCTTTTTGGTTCTGCCTCATCCTGCCAGCTGCCATCTATAGCTACCCAAACTACATTTTTCCCCCCATTTTTTCAATTTCTCTTTACCTTAATTGCAGGACTGATACAAGACTAAGTAGGTAATGGAGGGGTACAACCTTGTCCTACTAGGTATTTTCCAGTGAAATATTTGAAGTAGTTTCTAAGAAAATGTTTGAGCATTTCTAAAAATTTTGAAGCTAATTTCCAGCAAAACTTTAAGAATTTTCAAGGAACTTTGTAAGATATCATTTAAAGCACATATACTCACTAATGCAATGATTTATACAAATTGCAGGTAGTATAAATATTAATGACATGAGAGGGATGTCAAGAAAATAGAATAGTGTAATTATTGAAAAAACAAAAGAATTGGACAGAATAGCATTTATGTTATATGTTACAGTACATTAAACACTAATCTTTCCAAAAGTTTACAGAAAAAAATTAGTATTTCTGAGACATTGCTTGTTTTTTAATATTCCCCACATTTCACACAATTGCTTTTATACACAGTTTTCAAAAAAATGTATATGGCCTTAATGAAATAACCAATTATGGAAAAGAAATTTCATTTAAAGGAAAACACTATCTTCAATATTATAGTTGAAGGATGGTATCAAAAACAATTCAAACTTTTGCAATTTACAAAATGAACAGTGAATAACGCTGAAACAATTTTCAGAGTTAACAGTCAAAATTAGAACTATGCCTTCTTTGTAAGTATTTAACTCTATTCTTACAAATAATTTAAAGAAAAATTTTTTTGGGGGGGCAGAGCCTTTGTGTATAGAACACAACTTAATTTAAGGAATGTTTTTCACATAAGGTTCCAGTTCAGACAGATCGACAAACGAATATTCATTTTGAAAAAAAAAAAAAAGTCCTATGAATAGTTTAGACTTTAGAGTTGTCACAGGGAGACGGACTGATAGACTGATGGATGTTTTGAAAGAAAAACAAAGCCTACACAACAAAAACAACAACACTTTCTGTATCAGGGGAAGCCAAAGTGAGTATTTCTGTTGAAATCTCAAAATTGATTTTCCATTGCACTGCATAACTTTCTCTAAACATACTCTGTATATACGTACATATATGAGAAAGTTATAAATAAGTATAGTAGTATAAATAAGAATAATAGTCAATAAGTATTTCACTTTACAAGTGATGTCCAAGTTGGAAAAAAGTATGTTTACTGTTCAGATGTTTAGGAATTTTTCAGTTTCACTCTCAGAATTGCTCAGAACCACAGTAGGTACCCTGCATCAGGAGCCATTAAATTTTCAAAATAAATTTTTTAACTCACAATTTGTAATAAAATCGGGACAGAAAATAACTTAAGTAATTTTCCTGATATAAAGGATTCTGACTTTTCTGATGTGAAATATTCTGAAGATGATCCTCTGTAGAAACCAAGTTAAAAGTGATTGGTTTGCTAAGTCTTCAGATAGTGATTAAGAAAGTACTACTTCTAGGAATTATACACGGTAATAATAATCATTGTTATAAGACTAAAGTTCCTAACAAAAGAAGTCAGCCATGGAAACATAATTAGTAAGTATTGTGTCAAGCCTTGCTTTATACACCCAACATTAAGAAAAGGATTGCCAAAAGTGTGGAAATAATGAAAAGATAAATGTACAATTGAGAACATTTTCAACTGTTTGTGTAATTTACAAATTCAATCATTATTATGTATGTTTATCTTAACCCTCCAAGGATGGTAATTTTGTCCCCCAAAATTTATGTTAATTTCACGTAAGGTGAAATTATAGGTATCTTCTGCAATAGAAAAAAATACTTAACATTTTTTTTCTAATTAAGGAGCCCTTTGAGGACCTGTGACATTAATGTCACACTAGTGCTTTGTGCTATTTCGCTCAGGAAGCTGACAAAAGCAAATGATATAATACACTTTATACCTAAAATTGAAAAGTTTTTAATATTATTACAAAGTTTAAAGAATTAAAATTGAACTCATAAGTATTTTGAAATAAGATGTCACTGGTATAGACAATTTCACATGTTAACAAGCGTTACACTTCACGCAAAGTTACAACACTTGGTAAACACAATGCCTAAGAATTTTTTCTACTTTACATAAAAATTGGTCAAACAAATCACATCTGATTCCTGCTTAAATTTTAGTGCACCTTGGTGCTTGGAAGGCTGCTCCAACCAGTGATTTTATGGGAGTTTTGTAACATGTTAGGTACATCTGCACGATTTCTCTACTGAAAATTAAGTTTCACTACAGAATTACCAGCATTGTTGTATAGAATTTAAGCGTTGTTGACCACAACATTGAGTATCCAAATAAATAATGCTCAATATTATTCTTTACTTCGCATTAATACCGTATAAAGGTTAATATCCTCAACCATGCCATCCATACCGCCTATAATTTTATTGTATGCCTTGATACTATTCGTTGTGGCACACTTATAATTTTCTTTTCAGACTGACTTCTTTTCACTGGCTTCATTTTCATCACTCCTTACCCCGTACAAGTTGCTTTCATTTCTTTATTGTCAAACTACTTGCACAGAAAGATGACATTTTTTCTATAATGCTTTAAATGGTTCCCTGTGGCTTTTTTCCCTTTCTTTATTACAAACTATAGGGAAATCTGGGGCACTCTCTTTGGGTGAATCGTACCCGTTTCATTATAACCCCTTTCTTTTAGGTTCCTCAACAAGCTCACACTGGTTAACAAATTGTCTGCAATGTGTTAAGGCTATTCTTTTTCATCAGAAAAATTGTCTAGGAATGTTATAAGCAGAGCAGTTGATTCCAAATAATCCATCATATATTTTATTTCTACCAGTTTGACTTTTCTCCAGATAAACTTCGAAATACCTTCTGCTTCATCTAAACTGTTTTCATCAGTCATTTTGGGTCCTTCAGGGGAGAACTAAAGATGTCTAGTACTCTCAAATTATTGTCTTATTTCTCACCCTGACTTGCATTCAACATTTAAGGTTGTAAAATATCTTAAACAGTAAGACCATCTTCAAAATGCACATCACATCTACAAATTATAAAAGAACTTTAAATCGACAAATAAATTGGCTGAAGTCTAGTATACAGTATAACTTGTGGAAGAAAGTTTAAAGCGGCACTTCAAGGCGCTCCGGTAGCAACTGTCAAGTTTGAATTCTGGAGGCTTCATGAAAAGTGATTTCTTATAAAAATGAATTGGTAATTATGCAGTGGATAAACTCAAGGATGTTTATAGGGAACGCGAGGACCGAAGGCGTAAATTCTATCAGAGTGCATAGCATAATTAGGAGACCCCGCTGCCGCGCTTCTCTGAGGATGAACTGTGTACCCTACTTTAACCAATAACTTAAAAAAAATGAAAGCAACATTGCTAAGTAAAAATTTAGATTAGTTTCATAACCATAAAAAAAAGTAGTGCAAAAGACAAATGTATACATCTCACATCTAAACACAAGTCTTGAAATTAGAGACACTTTGTATTTCAATATTATTTCACAGTACACTGTAAACTAACCATTTTTATTCAATATCACAGAATTTCAGCATAAACAAAAAAATAATTGTACTTAAAATTCTATATACTGATTCAGAGTGCAATGAACAGCATAGTTAATTTTGAAATGAGGCTGGTAAAGACAAACTCAGTTACAAATTATATGCAACAGAAGAAGTGATTCTTGGAAACCCTGAGACCAGACACAATTTTGTGATGATTAGACAAAACCTGCAGATGTTGGCGGCTGACAATTTCAGACATATTTGCTTTGTTGTGTGTTCGTTCTTGGAGGGTTAATTAAAGAGGAAACAGTCTTTAGACATTGAACTAGTTCAATTATTTCAAAACTTCTCCACCATTCAATATCTCTAACGCCAAATATCCCCTCTAAGTCCAAATGACTAATACCCATATTGGTTAAAAAAAGGACATGAGACAGGTAAAATCAAAAATATTAACTTCACTGATATCCAGAATTTGGAATATTGAAGTTTACATTAATCATAAAATGTATTCATTTTTTGTAATGTATAATAATAGTTTGAATTATTGTGTCAAATTTTATTTTCAAATAGAAAAAAATGTACGAATACAAGGCAATTAAAACAATCCTATAACTAACCAAAAAAGTTACTGAGCTGATGAGTTGCACTGAATTTGATTCCCTTTGAAAATGTGGTCACTACACATAACAGTTATATAAAATTGAATTTTGTTCAGTTTCACATGTGTTAAGAGAACTAACCACAAATATACAACAATAGTTTAATGTAATTGTTCAAAAAGCAAAGTATTACATACCTCTATATCTATTTCTCAGTTTGCCCCAACTTCCTGGCCCATAAGTAAAATTTGTTTTTGGAATGCCTTCATACTGATGAGGTTTAGTGAAGTATGATAAACGTCGTAACTGGGGGGGAAAAATGTTTTTGAACATTGAAACTTGCTTCAACTTTTGGCACATGCTTAAGAGTAAACATCACCTACTTTTTTCCTAACACTAGTGATTAATTAAAAAGGTTGAGTTAAGAACTCAGACTCTTCGTCACTTCAGTGGAATTAAAACTAAAACATACAAATGAGTATAATTTTTTATTTACCCACTCCCGTTTTGTCCATGAATATGTGATCTCGTTTCTGTTAGTTTTAAGCATCCATTCAGGAAATGCAATCGTCTTGGTAGGCTTCTTCCTGGACTTGGAAACTATTTTAGCCATAACCAAGAATTACTACAGAACTATTGTTCTGCTGAACACGTGATGGTTCAACGATTTCAAAACACGGATCCGCTAATGTCTGCACACCCAACCACTCCAACAAATTTGTACTCCCTACACACCATGCAGTACGTTAAAGATTTATGCCAAGTTATATTATGTTTCACCATGTAGATTCCACATGATCCACTTTGCGGCCTTCCAGGTCCTGGCTAACGCATAGTCTAGAAGGCAGTGAGTCTGTCATTGAGTTTCCTTAGTGTGGTCACGTAATGAGTGGTGTGGTTGTGGATTGGGGGTAGATTTTGTTTTGTGTCAAATGAGTAAGTGTGCGATTTCGAGGAAGAATAATTAAGATTCTGTGAACTATAAAATTGTAACAAAAAAATCATATATTGGATGCATTTGGTAAATCATTTGAAATCAATTTAGTTATTTAATGCTTAATGTTAAGTCATGATTGGCAAATACCTGTAGTTATTTCTTGAATGACAAAGCTAATACTGTGATTGCGGTGCATTGATTGAATCAATGTACTGATCGAACTATTTATGTGAGGTTAGAAACGCAATTGCATTACGATTGGAGCTGTTCAGACGTTCTGGCGAATGCATGTCTATCAACTGAATTTACTTTCAGTTAGAACTTTCATTTGAAATGGCTTGTAGGTTAGTAAGTATAGAGAATCCAATTTTCACCTCAAGTGGACTTCCTACTTACATCTTGACCAATAACTTTAAATAGTAAATTGTGGTAATAACACTGAATCATTGCATCTTATGTTGTCATCATAAATGTATTTCATTTCTTTTTTTTTTCTGCTTCTAGTGCCATGACACGAACTGCAAGGTGTCCTCATGTCAGTTACCTGAGTGATTGTAGTCAAGCAGACATAGAAAGAGCCAAAGAGGTTATTTATTTTTACATATGTTAAATGTTTGTGTGACATAGGTTTGAAATCATAATTATAATGATTATTTGCAGATTTCAAGATGTTCAGAATGCAGTTCACAAGGTCCTAATTTATGGCTTTGTTTACACAGAGGGTGTTTACGAATTGGTTGTAGTGAAACCCAGAATGATCACAGCACTACACATAATAAGGTATGATTTAACAGTTATGAGTCAGTTAATTGAGATATTGAACATAGCATTTTCATTACATACTTTAATATTACCATAAATGATCAACTTATTTAAATTTATGGGATGTATTTTTTTGTAATCCAAAAAATTATACCCATTTCACTAGGCAGTAACTGATCTTGAATATCAAAACAGAAGGAACAGCTCTTTAAAAATAGGATATAGATTCTAATACATAAGAAATCAATTCAGACTTATTGGTTTTTATTTTTCAGAATTACAGATCCCACTGTTTACATTTAAACTTGACAACGCTGAGAGTGTGGTGTTATTTGTGCGAAGACGAAGTATTTTTAGATCATTCAGATTCTGTTAATACTCGCTCATCCTTGCCAACCATGAGATATGGTCCTGCAGATTCTGGAGATAGTAGCGACAGTGAAGATAGCCGGGAAGACAATGGGAAACCACGAGGTTAGATTTCTAAATTACGCAATTGTTTTATCTGAAAATTTTTCAGTGGAATTCACTTATTTCTAGTGTTTGAAATTGAAAAATGATATGTTGGTTCCAAGAAGAGAAATTGGGAGTGTAGAAATTTATAACTTGTATTTATATCCTTACTTTATGCTAACACATGATACAGAAGAGGAAATGTTTTTAAAGAAAGTGTTTATTACTGTTATTATTTTGAATTTGATTATAGGTTTGACAGGTCTACAGAACATAGGAAATACTTGCTACATGAATTCAGCTCTCCAGGCTTTGTCAAACACTCCACCATTAACACGATTTTTTCTGGATTGTGGAGCCTTTCTTCATGGGAAAGGTGGTGATAAAAAACCTGGATTGTCAAAAAGTTACCATAGACTGGTACAAGAAATGTGGCACCGGAAACGACCTGGCTACGTTGTACCATCTGGGATTTTGTATGGAATAAGAAACGCAAGTATTGCAGTTTGATGTTCAACATCAGGTGTTGGTGAAATTCTGTTCAGATTTTAAACTTTTATATTGAATACTCTACTCCCAAGTGCTGGTTCGGTGAGTGCACAATGCTGGGCCTATGAAACAAAGCATCATTTTTGCTTCATATTTCAGTGCACATACTACAGAAATGAGAAGGATGCACATTCGTTGTGCAGGAGGCATTTTAAAAATACAAATCGGGTCACAGCACAGCAGTTTTTGTCCTTTGTGTGGCCACAGCGTTTAGTTGCAGTTCTAGAGTGGCTGTGGCTAACACAATATGATTTGATGTTTTCAATAAAAAGTGGGTTAAAGTAGGGTACACGGTACACCCTCAGAGAAGTGTGGTGGCAGGGAGTAGGGGTCTCCCCGTGTCCTCCGCGAAATTACGCTATGCGCTCTGATAGAAATTAGTAAAACATATGATTTTCATGGCTTGCCCTTCATACCCTGCCACATTGTAATGACAATTTACTTTTAACGGCAAGTTTTCTCACTTTGCTCGCCCGGATCCAAGTATCACGACAAGGCTCAGGCCTTCACATTCACTATAAACATCCTTGAGTCTATCCAATGCATAATTACCAATTCACTTTTATAAGAAATCACTTTTCAAGAAAGCCTCCAGAACTCAAACTGCGCAGTTACCGCCAGAGTGGCGCAAAGTGCCAGTTCAAACAACATCTGTAAGTTGTACCGTATAGTAGGTTTCAGCCAAAAGATTTAACAAAATCATAATTACACTTGTGTAATTTAGGTTAAATGAGTCGGCAGTGACTTACAAAAGTCTATTTGTTTACTTAATAGTACTGCTATGTAAAAAGATTTCTATTGTAAGATATTACATTTGAATGAATCTGTACTTACCACAGAATTTTGTAAAACTTGACAAATTTGTGTTACATGATGTTTTAATCCATGGACAGAATGAAAGATTCATGTGTTCAATTTTTTAACATGACACTATGGCAAAAATGTCTTCAGACTTCAAATTTTTCCATCTGCATGGATCAAATGAGGAGCAGGTTTATCAATTAATTTAACTTTCTTATTATTTTCATCCACTATTGACATGAGATAAGGCAGAGAAATACTTAGAATAAGAATTATATATAATTGTCTGTCAAATGTTTAAGGTGAGCAGCTATCTTTTGTAATGACAAATTTTTGAGAGTTTTACATTCTTTTTAGGTACATCCTATGTTTCGTGGCTACCAACAACACGATACACAAGAATTTCTACGATGTTTTATGGATCAATTACATGAAGAATTGAAAGAACCTCTTGTGGATAGTTTCCCTGATCGTTATAAAAATATTCAAAATCATGGTAAGATTTTGGGTGGACTACTTACAAGAAAATTACATGGGTCAAATTATTATAACAATATTGATAAACATGAATAATAGAATGAGTTTCTTCTGAGGCAGATGTAAAGGAAATATCCCCCTCCTCCCGAATCCTATTAAACTTGTCAATCAAAAATTCATATTATTTTCAGTATTTTATATGCAATTTTGTAGTGTTTTGAAAGAAAATTGAATAATCATAATAGTTATATACCTTGTTTTGAACAGTCCCTTACCAATCAGGGGACTCCAGCATAGTTTTTTCCATTGAATTAATTAAGGTAAGCATAGGGCTTTTATTGTTAAGCTGTTATTGGCTGATTTATTATGATTAAGGGTGTTATTGCATGATTTAGGGCTTTTATTGTTAAAACCTTTTCCAACCCTAAGTGATAATTTTGTGTTTCAACATTTATTGGATATTTACAAAACAAATCAAAATTGTCATCTTGTAATCACTTCATGGAAACACTTGTTTTCTTGCAGCCATGCCTGCCCTTAAAGATGTTGATGTCTTATTTTAGTTTCTGACAATAGTTAGGTGTGCAATCCAAACAACATTGTGAATGTTGAACTAGTTCTTCGAAATACGACCTGTCCCTTTGGGAAAGACAGCAAGTTCAAAAGAATTTTAAAATGTTAATTCCCTTGCCATATTTCAAAAAACAAAAATATTATAACATAAACTTGCAGAAAATGATTGTAATATATGACTACACTAGTTGAGTCCAGCAGACATTCTGCCCTTCATCTCCACCCCCAGCAAAAATTTAATAGAATGTGGAAAAAGATCTCATCCTGAAAATGATGGTGTGAGAAATGTTTCTTTAAGGCCTGTGACCTCAAAATTTTAGTTTTTAATGTCCTAGAATGCTTCATATAGGAGTTAATGATATAGATTCAAAAAATTCTACTGTGTGTTGTGGGATGCATTTCACACAAATATTTAGTTTTTATCTACAGTGCCATGTTGTGAATTTTTCCAACATTTTAATAGTTATTGTGCTTTTCAGGACAGATAAATCCAACAATTCAGAGATAATTAAAATTGGTCCAGCCATCCAGCCAAGTCTTCTCTATGTGGCACTAGCACTAAGGGGAGGCAATGCACCCCCCTCCCCGTGCTTATAGTTTTCTTAGCTTCTTTCATTTAGAAAAATTGATTTAAAATTTTTTTGTGTTCGAATTATGTAATTATTTAAACAATAATATTGTATAGTATTGTATCTACAATACATAAATAATATACAATATAATAACAAATATGTTTACTATTTAACAAAAATCTACAATGGTCCCCCCAAAATGATTAGCTGGATCCCCCCTGCGGAGTGGTGTTTTACAGATACTGATACATTGATAAGCAACTTTTAAAATAACGTTAGTCATCATTATTTGACATCAGTTTTACACTGAATTACAGTGAATTTTCTTTTTCTTTATTTTACATGTATACAAATGAATACTGTTAAGGAATGTGTTAATTTACAGAAGAGAGCCAGCAGTTGGCTCATTTTGATGACGGCTCAGATGAAGAAGATAATGTGAATGGTGGACATTCAAGTCAATCAGAAGGAGAATATGAAACATGTGATTCTGGAGTTAGTGAAAGGAGTTCTTTGAGTGATGAAGGAGAAAGGGGAAGAGCAGCCAATAAACGAAAGTAAGTTTGAATCATTTTTGTTTTAAGATTGCTTCTATAGTAAGCAATGTATTAAAAGAATGGAGAATGAATACCTACTGGAGATAAAATATTTAACTATTAAGAAGAAGATACTAAGAGAAATTAAGAATGTATGGTTGTATAGGAAGACGTTACAAGGGAAAGGCAGACATGCAAATCCTCGGTTAGGGGACAAAATTTAAATGGAAGAATAATGTTTTTTAAGATCTAAGGCAATGATGATGCAACTGAATTTGAGTAGGTCAAGTTGGCACTTTGTGATATTAGTCAGAAAAGTTAAAAAGTTGTATGTAGTCTTTTGATATGAATCTTTGTGACCAATTGCTTCTCCTTGAAGAACAATGATAGTGCAAGTTTCAAGTTATTTTTATTAGTGTCTGAAGGAGAATGTAGTGGCTCTTCAATGCAGATATTGCATAAACTGTAGAATTTTGAAAACTTTTTTATTAGACAAATTCTTTCTTTTGAATAATTTTTCATTTTTTAAAATTTTAATTGATATTTGTTACTTCTTGCAGATTATCTAGGTCACCATCACCTCCACAAGAAAGAATGCGTTCAAAATTAACTACACCATCTTCTAAGACCCATGGATCATCACCTAGTTCACCTACCCGCCCTAATCGCAAAAAACAACCAATGAAATACAGAAGTATAATATCTGATGTCTTTGATGGCAAAGTCCTCAGTTCTGTTCAGTGCCTTACTTGTGATAGGGTGAGTGTTATTCACGTTTCACTTCTTATTTTTAGACCCTGAAACCTCCAGTTTTATATTCAATAATAGGCTAAGGTGAAAATAAAATAGATTGAGTTCAAATTTTAAATAAGCATTATCAATTGAAATGAAAATAATTATTCAGAATAAATTTGAATTTACTTCACTTCTTTTTTTGACTCACTTTGTCAAATGTAATCAGTATGAAACATTTTGTACATACTATCACAATCATATTGTCTGTCCAGTCATGTGAGCATTCTTTTGACACTCATTGGTGCCAAACCAAATTGGAGGGCCGGCATTAACTCATAGAAATTGTTCACATTTATTTCATGAGCGTTGGCTTAATTTGTGAGGGAGCTGTTTTTCTTGCCATGCCAACTGGAGAATATTTGCATGATATCAGTCTTTGTGAAGCTAAAATGAAATAGTACACATGAAAACTTCCTTTTTAAGAAATATTATTTACATGCATAATTCTCTGATTAATATTTGTGTATTGCGAGTTTAATTAAAAGCATGGAGAAAGTGAAAAATCCAGGCTCTTTGAAATTTGATATTTATGGTCTGCCCCTTTACATCAATTTGAAGACTTAATTCACATGAATACATGTTGTCATCTGCTTTTCTAAATGATTTGTATCAATTCTTACAATTTTTAGTAATGATATTGGAAAAATGTAAATCATTTCTGAAGACTTCCCAATCTCCAACTACATGCACTGAACTTGCTCTTTGAGGCCAAATAGCTGGTGGAAGAATACACTTCGCAGAACAATGTGGTTCTCCACAATGCTCACCTGTCAAAAAAATCATCTAAAAGCCTGAATGGACCATTCCAGAGAGATGTAATTCAGTGTTGTGAAAATTACTGTAAGTTTGATCAAATTAACGTTTCCAATATCAGACGAGTACTTTCTTGGCCTTTAATTAAGTTTTTCTGCATCTTAGTATTTCAATGCCCCCCTTGCAATAAAATAGCAGTGTGAAGTCTAAGTGGTTAATTATCAGCACTAGAGTTCCTAAGAAGCGACTCCTGAGGTCAGTCAGAATCTAAAATGCTGTGCAGACCATTTTAATAAATGGTATGAATGAGGCCTACATAGCATTTTAGACTTTCACTGACCTCAGGAGCCACGTGCAAGCAACTAGTGCAAATGCAAGTAGCAAGGAAGGGTGGGGATAAGACTCATTTCAAGTGACTTCAATCGCTTGTTTGAATCATTGACTCAGAAGTTGGCATCCATTGAGCTCTCGCACTTACAAAACATTTCTCATATGATCACCGTAATTTCCTCATGAAAAGATGTTTTACTTTCGGCGCTTTCTATTTCCTGGAATTCTTTTTAACCACATACTCTTGATTTTGTCTAGTTTTTAAAGTGTCATACTTTCGAGTTTTCCCAACTTCAAATTTCTTTACTGAATCCTTGAGAGAACTGTTTGGTTGTATTCTTTAATTAGTATATTTTCTCACCAAGAGTTAACACTTTCAATTTGCTGCTTGACATCACAAACTCTGGATTAACACAATACCTGCAACTTGTCAAACTGATCAATAGTAAACCTTTAGAAGTACCAAACACAAAGCATGCATTACAAAAACTGTGGAAGTATCACTCTGTGCCTGTCCTTCCTTCACACAGGGTTGTGAAGGTCAGTGCTATTCGAGCGATGGCTTTCGCACGAATAGCCGGGAACAATGCTGTTTGGACGAGAACTCAAAAGTGTCTCTTACTATGAATATCACCACACTTGCAAGTCAATGGTTAATTTTAAAACAATAATTATTTTCCACTTATAAAGAAATTTTAACATTGTCGTACTAAAAATTCCTTTCCGTTTCTGTGCTAAGCAGGTTCCAGCTTATGTACTGTACGTTGCATTGGAAAATAGGCCGTTCCGAGTATTTTTCCGGCGATGATAGGTTTCAGGCTTTGACATGTTTTATTGTATTTACCAAACAAATTAATCTTTCTGAAAAGAGGGAAAAATATGACAATTATTAAATATCTACAGAGTAATTAGAGAGTAATGTTCTTTAAACACGATAGGACAGATTTCATGAATACTGTACACAACCGTTAAATATATGTTTAATGGAAATTTACCAATGTTGGTGGAAACATTAAAATGCATGTTGCATTTATGCAGCAATGGGAAAGGATTCTAATTTACTTATAGTTAATGATCATGGCCTTATATGAAGATGAAGCTATTTAAAAATTTGCTTGTAAATTAAATTTTAAAAAAGTCATAATTTTATGTGAGATTTTGAGAATTTAAAATGTTTTTTAGTGTTTCCTGTTATCATAAATATGGTGCAAATTGAATGGATAGCAGCACAAATTCAACCTTTGTCAGAGATAGTAGTTTACCAAAAATTAATCAAGAATGAAATTAAGAGAGGCTATGCTACTGAAAAATGAGCTGTATGATGAAGAGGTTATTTAATTAGAAGCAGGGCAAGAAATTGTTTTTAATATAGTGATACAGCTGGTTACATAATCAGTAATCACAGGAGAATGCCGAACTGTGAGTGTGTATGTGTGTGTTTGATGTACTAACTAATGGACATTTCAAAAAGATGTTTAAAGTCATTACCAATAAGTGAAAGGTGGATACACTAACCAGATGAGTGTGAAAATTACTTAAAAACTTAGAGCATTGGACAAAACAATACCAAGGTTCCACCAGAATATGTCACTGAAGAAAACCGTTTAATTAACAAACTTCCTATGGAGGCTGCAGAGATCGGAATCAGTGCTAGTACCATTTATTCAGGAGACCAGACTGTAAAATTAGCAGTTATCTTGAGGGGGGGGGGGGGAAGGAAGTTGAAGAATAGAAAAAGGAAAGGATAGAGCAAAATGGAAAACTATTCCCTGAACAGTCCATTGATTAACTCCTTTTCAGAAGATGAAGTGAAGAAGAAGAGACCTGCAGATATTACTACTGAACATTTCTGATACAACAAACTTCTACAGATGATATGGTTTTTAAGAAGGAATCTCCAGAGGCCAAAGAATTTCTTTGAGGCAACCGTATCTATTATTGAAACCTGAAACAAGAATGAAGAAAATATTCCATACATTTGTCATGTCAGTGCTGACATTGTCAGAAAGTTAGGCTCGAATTAAACATACAAAAATATAAATTTTTGAGGTCAGAATAAAATGTTGAACTCTGTGCCCAGTGCTGTATGGGGGTTCCAACATAAGAATCCAAGTAGTGCAAGTGAAGAACAAATTAAGATTTAAACTCTTATTTTCTGTAAAGAAATTAAGTAAGTCATATTATAATATTGTGGCTAAATGAGCACTCATTGACTTTGTTTATAGTGTGTGAAGACAGCAAAGCAAAGAAAATGAGAAATTGGATATTGACAGTATACCAGCAGGAAGCTCGTCTTGAATGTTATTTGATGGGACTGCAAGTCATGTTAGAGACAGATCATTTTCTTGCACTCCTGAAATGTATGTTCCTGTTTGTGCTTTGTGCTCTTCTCTCTGTACTTCAATGATGTAGAGAGCTACCTCCGGTTCGAAGTTAGGTGTGATGAAGCAATACCAGTCATGTAAAGTTGTGAAGTTGCAGACTGACAATTAAAGATTGAACACAAAATGAAAGAATTGGAATGGATACAGTTGAATCATGGCAGATATGATGTGGACATGACATTGGCCACAAATTTTTAGGGATTTGACTTCATACAAGGAATGGTAAGACAAGATTAAAAATAATTCAGGGAGAACAGTGTGAAAGAGGCAGTGAATACAGGACAATTGTAGGGGGATAAAATTGAAGGCAGTAAAGTGGAAAGGAAATGCAAGGAAAGATACTTGGAATGGCAAAAGTACTTGCTATTCTACTAATGCTACTGTTGCAAATAGACCAACATTTGATCGACATTTAATTATTGTACCTTGGAAAAATTGGTTCGATAACACTGCTATTATGTTGCATAAAGTGATTGAACTGGTATCACGCTGCTGAAATCAAATCTACAACCACTGTTTATATCACATTAGATTTTATACAACTTGGAATGACATTTCCAATTTTTTTTTAAAAAAACAAACTTTTTTACCATTTCAGCCTGAAACATTGTGAGGCACACACAAATTTGAATTTTTTAAAAATTTCTGTATGCTCTTCATTAATTGTAAAATATTAAAACATAGAATAGGGGGGAAAATATTCTAATTGATTATCCCATTCCAATACTACCTGCAACATTGCTGTAGTTATCAGGGAATATTGGGTAGATGTAGTAGTTCTTCTAGCCGATTTGGTTATAAAACAAGACGACATAATGATTTTCTTGTTCACACCGAACTATTGGAGTACCAATCAGTGCAGATTGCATGACACTTTGTGCAGAAGAGCCAGTCAGTCATTCCTATGTCAATTTTTGAACAAGAAAAAAATTTTTCCTGTTTATTTCAATTTTTAGTGTTAACTTTCACAAGCTTAGAATTGACAGTTTTGATACCAAACCATTGTGTAAGGTATTTAAAAGCTAAAATTCCTCCCTCTCCATTCTTTTTGAATTCAATGTCAGATTAGGATTCCTGTTCAGTTTTGAAGTTGAAAAAAAGTTACATTTTGCAGGTCATTGTAATTTGGATAAATGATATTCTGCCATGCACATTAATCATCTTTTAGAGCTTGGAAATTGATCAGAAAAAATCCAATGATACTGGCAATTTTCAATCAGTGAAATCCAGTTCATAAATAACAAATTTCTAAATTAGATTTTGAATATTCATTCGAAATAAAATCAATGCTTTATTCTGGCACCACCACTTTATAACAAAAAGGTACTGTTTGTATAGCGCAGGAAAAGTTTTGTATACAGTCTACATATTTTAGTTCTTCCTGTCATGCCAGGAAACTACGCCCACTGTGAGGAATAACATTTTACAGTGATTTTGTTTGTATCCATGTGAACAATTGTGTGCAATAAAATGACATGATCAGTTTGGGCTGTTTTT